GTCTTGTATAATGCAAGAGGTGAATCAGCACCAGGCACCACACCGAGCAGTGTCTACTCCTATAGCTGCCTGAACCACTCTGAAACCTGTCCTTGGTGTGCAGTTCTGTCAAGACACCTGTGCGCCCAGAAGGAGGCCCCAACAGCCTGATTTCATGCACTTACATGCCTGGTGTCTGCAATTGCCCAAGCCACCCATTCATCCCTGGACCAGAGCTTGGTTAACAGCTCTTAAGGGTCAGAGAAAGGAATACTTAGACTCCTTTCAAGTGAGGCCACATACCCATGTCCCCAGTAGGCCATCTCTGGGGGAGCAGGGCCAATCCAAGCCTCCCTGGGGAAGCACAACATGAAAAGGATAGGGGAGTGGACTGAAAGCGCTTCTTCTCCGGCTACAAGTCAGGAGGCTATTAACCCTTTGTTCAAGCTACCATGGGTTCTCTCTCCCATTGTAAGGCTCTGTGCTAAGTGTGGGGAAGAGATGAAGGACCATCCCCTTACCTTAGAAGACAACACTAAAAACAAGTCCTTGAGACAGCCCTGGGTGCTGGTGGGAGGGGCAGAGGAAATATAGCCAAATGCCCTCTCCTGCTCTGATCTCTTTTTAGGGCTAGGAATGCAGCAGACTAAACCAAAAGTGCGTGGTGTTCCCAGGCACTGCCATTACACTGCAAAGGAGCATGCAGGTAGCTGACCCATCATCCCTCCAGTCTGTCTTATCCCACAATCACAGGAGACCTGACCATCCTAGCAAGGGCCAGACCTAACAGGGGCAGTGAGCAGCCCTGGCCTGCAGAGTGCTGAACATCCCCTACTCTGTGGGAGAAGAGGCGATGCTGCACTTCCCAGAATCGGTATCCTCCTTTCCAACCCCAGCCTATGAGCTGTTTGCCCCTCACTTGCTCCCTAACCACCGAATACAGAACAGCATTCAAGGGGGCTGGGATCTGTGTACCACACGGGACCCCACACACCACTCACCTCATCCTGTGTGTTGATGAGGCGTGAGGTGACACCAGTTGTGTAGATCCCACCATTAGGATCCTCGTGGATTTTGATGTTGGATTTCCGGTGGCGGGAGTCAGGGTCCCTGGCGCTGTCAAATAGGTCCAAGATCTCCTCATTGTACAGCTGAGGCAGAAGGAAGGCACAAAGCATGGAGTTACTGACAGCAGGGGTCTCAGAGGAGCCCAGCATGTGAGTTTGGGGCTGACTTCCTACCATGGCATGAAGGCATGAATAGGGGCCATAGTCCTCCTTCCCCTTGTTTCCATCAAACCCCTGGAGGCTTGCTACACTGCAGGAGGAAGCGCACTACAGTGCGCATGTAGGCGTCACTGCAACAATACCAGCTGCAATTTGCTGGTTGGTCCTAACTGCCAGCTAAGCCTGCTGACCTGCAGGCCTGCACAGGCCGCTCACTTACGCCCAAGGATGGGAGCAGGAAGTCTCCCTGGGCTCTGAAGCTTTCTAGCAAGGTCTAAACAGGAATAAGAGGAGACATAGGAAGAGCCCTTGAGACAGGAGGAAGCAAAATCCCTCTCTCAAGTCTTCTCTACCCGCGAGTGTCTCCTTGCTGCATGAAGCAGTGGTGCAGAGCTGCACACTTCCACAGGTCTGTGCAGCTGTCACCTGGCTAGGGAGAGGGAACATACCTCTACGCAGTGACAGAACCAGAAGAAGCCAGGAGTCCTGGGTCCTGGCCCTGGGTCCACCCTCTCAACCCTGCTTTGTTTTGTCTTAAAAGCTTACCAAGAGTGGAAAGAGCCATGACTCTGGCCCTGCAGGGTGAGTGTTCCCTGTATGAGCTGCAATCATTCATTTCACACTGCTGCATGCCTGGAGACCCTGCTTCCTCTGGGGCCTGGAGCATCTGGGATTGATTCCCAGCATCCCTGACAGCATAATTATCCAGAGCAATCAGGCAGACCCTGGCAAGTCAGGCTTGCTGGCAAGGGTCACAGACCAACCAACCCGCCCCATTGGAAAAAGGAGCTAATTAGGGCTTATAGCCAGGAGCTCACAGACAGAAGGGAGTGGGGGCCCTATTCTCCCCTCCCCAGATTAGCAAAGCACCAGCACACTTCCTTGTTCCCCTGCACAGCGGCTCGGGTATAGCCTATAGGACAGGCAACTAGAAGCTCAGGACTGAACATGGGGCAGAGAGTTTTAGTCCCATTATGGGGGGTAAAGGTTTAACACGGCAGGGGTGCTGGTGCAGGTAGCGACAGTCCAGCAGAAAGGCCAGGCTCATAACCCCCGGGCTATATCCCCACTGTACTGATGACAGCCTGAGGCATGGAGAGAAAAATTGCCCTGCCCGGTCACACCGAGTGTGGTAACGCAGGGTTATAGTTAGGAAACCTGGGTCCCATCCCACAAAGCCCATCCTTCCACCCTGGCCTGAAGTGCAGCTGGCCCCGGCCAGGTCAGGTAACCTAGTTTTCCCTCTGTCAGCTAAGCAGAGATGAGTGATGTTGGGCATGTCATTCACACATGAGGCATCTGCTCTCTTGTGTGAATGACATGCAACTTGAAGCTAATGAACAGGCTGCCTGGTGAGCTGATGGCCCAAAGGGGAGCTGTGCTGGTACCTGGCTGTTTATGGCCTTATTCTCTGCCGTTTTAGACTCGACAGTTTTGTGAATTCAGCAGCACCCCATTCAAACACCAGCTTATTATAGTGTTACTTCTTCACAGCAGGGCCGGGTAGTGGGGTGGGGAGGGAGAGCATCCAGGCAAGGCTGAGCAAGAGACTGTGTTCATCTCCTCACACCTCACAGCACCCTTCAAAGTCACACCATTGCCACATCACCCCATTGAGAATTGCTGCTCTAGGGACAGAGGACTGGAGTCACTGGGTACATTAAACGGCCCTGGACTGGAGCTGGGAGGCTGTTTTCCCAACCCAGACTTCACAAGTGCTTCCTGTGATGGCATATAGGATTTACTGTAACATTTCTGTGTTAAAGGTGTTCTTGCTGTAATAACATTGTGCACCTCAGTTTTCCCCAGCTAACTTATACAAGGGAGGAAAAGAATGGGTTAAAGCAGGTGCCACAAGTGGCATGGGCAGCCTGTGTGCATACAACAGATCAGGGAGAGGGCAGACAGGGCAAGAAGTAGAAACCAGAGCAGAAAATTGGGTAGGGAGGAGAAAGCAGAGCAGCGGGTTGGGCAGAGAGAGAGAATTGGAGTGGCACTTGGGGAGGGCACGGGCTTAATTGGTGGCATGTCTGCCAAAAAGTTTGGTCCCCACTGGGTTACAGAGACAGTGAAGCCAGAGTTGCCTACTGGGTGGGACAGGACAAGATGCAGCACCAGCATCAACAGGATTTGATTAGCTTGGCTGGCACATCAGCAAAGGCAGAATAGCCAGCAACACCCAGGAGGCTCCAGAGAAGCTGAAGGGATAACAACGGGCAGAGCAGGTTCAAGCAGGGTGCTAGCTCCTGGCTAGGTGGCCTGGAGAAGGGGAGCAGCTGAGCAACTTGGAGGTTGAGAAGCTGGGCAGACTGGAGAGAGAAGAGCTAAGTTACCTTTCGGGTGCTTGGGGCTGTGCAGGCTGGGCTGGGGGCAGGGTCTTCTTACTATGTGGCCTTTATGCCAATAAATGCTTTTATCAAAGCAGAGATGTCTGCTTTGCTGCTTGGATCTTTGCACTGCACGTGTTCTCCCCAAGAAGACAAAGCCCTCTCAGGGCTGAACTAGAAGCTCCTGGAGCCAGAGCCACAAAACCACCAAAGAGGTTGTGGGCCAAAAAACAAGGGTCTCAGAGCAAGCAGGAGCCAGGCTCCTGCCCTTGCTCTAGAAGCCGAGCCTGGGCTGGCTTCAGGGGGCACCCTAAGAGACCAGACAAGGCTGCAGTGGTCCTGAGCAATCACTCCCTAGGGGGACTCCATGACTCTCCCACTCCATATAAAGATGGCATGAAGGCTTTCAATGTTTTCCAGGGGAGAGAAAGAATAGATTCATAGATATTAGGGTTGTAAGGGACCTCAGCAGATCATCACGTCCAACCCCGTCCCAGATAGGAAAGAGCACTGGGGTCAGATGAGCGACCCCAGAACAACCCAGAGCCTGGGAGCTGGGGTACTTGCCCAGGATGCAGGAGACTAACACTTCAGCTTGTGCTCTGAGTGAGTGCGATGCCTCGCAGGAACACAAGTGCCAGGACCACCAGGCCAATGGCTCTTCTGGGGCGGGGGTTACGGCTGCTTCTCACTTTGACCAGAAATCCCACTGTAGATCCAAAAGCCCTCTCCAACCAGAGCTTCATGGAAGCCAGTCCCTCCCCTTGCAAGTTCTCTTTGCACAAAGCTGCATTTTCAAACAAACAAAAAATGGCTCATCAGAAAAGGCCCCAGCGTTAGGCCAGGCCCTCACCTGCCCAGCCCCTCCACAGGCATTGCGGTGTCAGTGCTCTGCTTGCCAGCTCAGAGCTCCTGCATCAGGGAGCTCGCTGCTCCTGGCCTACTAAGCTTGGTGAGTGGATTTCCTGCAAGTAGCACAAGCACCCGGCTCAAGGGGATGGGGAGAAATGACCACAGATGATCTCTGTGGATAAAGGCTAATCTGTTCCACCCTGTCCCTGGGGGAAGCCAGCTCCTAGAACAGTAAAACCTCCCCCTAAGGAGCCTACTCAGGGAGGGGAGAGTCACAAGATATAGATCAGTCTGCAGCCGCAAGGGCTAAACTCCCTCACCCTGCACACGGCCCCCTTCCGGAGCGCTAACTGTCGCCTGAGCTACAGCTACAGCGTCTGCTACATGCCGACAGCAGCACCTTTCCTAACTGCAGTGTCCATGTCCCATAGCACTCAGGGACAGTTGCCTTGGGGAGAAGGAGAATTTTGCCCATAAAGAAGGGGAAGGCAGAAGCCCCTAGAATAGCTACCCTGGGACATCCCCCTGCATTTCACCGCTGGATTTGCAGGGAGCCTGGTGCTGTTCTGGCCCGCCATGCAATCCTGTAGCTAAAGGCAGCTCTGTCTACACAAGCAGTCTCCCACCAGGACAATTCCACTGACGACAGTAACTGGATGCAGGATGGGACAATGGACAGTGCATTGGACTGGGGCTCCAGGCACCCAAGTTTTGTCCCTGGCTCTGCCACAGGCCTGTGCGTGACTGACAGGGGCAAGTCATTTCCCATCTTCATGCCTCAGTTTCTCCCCACTATAATAGTACTGACTGCCTTTGTGAAGTGCTCTGAGGTCCACGGAGGAAGAGTACCTGAGCACTGCCTACGCTAGGGGCTTCTTACCACCATGACAGAGCTCATTGTCTAGATCAAGTTGGGCAGAGCAGGCTAAGGATACAAACAAGCAACTCTGAATATACCAAAGCAAGTAATCTGGAGGAAACTCCTGCCCCCCAGGCCTCTTGCAGCCCAGGCATCAAAAGTCTCTGAAGCAAAAAAGCCAAAAATATCCCAAATGAAAACAATTTTTAAAAAAAAAATTGGCTACAAACAAACCAGAACTCCACAGGCAGGCCACAGCCTTGCAAAACCCCTCCAGGATGCCAGTGCCATTAACCCACGCAATGCTGCAGCCTCTGAGGTCCTTCCAGCTAATCCAGCAGCCTCCTTGCTTTGCCAAAGCCACAGGCACTGAAGCCAGAAGCTAAGCACCCACTTCAGCCACCACACAGGCCTCCTCCTGCATGATTGCAGCATTGGGCCTTCTGAGTCTGTGGTCTCTTGTGCCGAATCCAAGCAAGCTCAATGAGGCCAGGGAAAGTCCCCTCCCCTCCCCAGCCCGGCTCTCTGAAGGGCACACACCCTCCCAGCCAGCACCAGGGATGGCCAGGCACACCACTAACGAACACTGCTGGGCCCAGATCCACAGTTACTTCAAACAATCACAGCGAACCACCCAGATTTACACAACGCCATCCACTGATCGCTGCTCTCCCAGAGGGGATGTTGTTGGGAGGAACTGAGGTAAGGGAAATCCAGGCTGAATAGCAGGAAAGACTTCCTGACAACCAGGTCAATTAGGTCCTGGGAGCTTATGGGGCTGAAATCCTACTACCCTGGGCATTTAATGAGCAGGCTAAGCTGGAGCCCCAGGGAACGGGCTCCAGGGAGCTGCTAGCCAGGCCAGTGGTGTGTGGGCTAGATGGGTTTCATCTCGTTTCCCTGAGTGCCTCTCTCTGATTCTCTGGCTCCCTCTTCAGTTATGGTCAGGGTCCTTGCTGGGCATCTGCTACTGGGGAGCCACAGCCACCAGCACCAGCTAACCGGAGGAGTGGAGCTCTCCACCATTCAAATAACCTTGACCCCGACAAAGGGATTTCAAAGGGAGCTGAGAAGAGTCAGGAAATCCTCCCGTGTCTCACTTCCATACCAGAACAGACGGCTTAGTGACCCGAGCTGTTCCCCAGCTACAAATCCTTGGGAATGGAGATGTGCTGCCAGGTTCTTTAGATCTGGGGTTGGGTTTCTCAGAAGAGCAGGGGAGGGTGCAATGGAAGTTGGAAAGGTTTCCCAAGGGGTCAAATGGGGATACAGCAGCTACCTGAAAGCAGGTATGGATACACTCTGAGTCATGCAGGTACTGACTTCACATGTCCAGAGGGAAAAGCAGAGGCCCACGGTGACTCTCCCAGCAGTGAGGGGAGGAGACTCTAATGGATTACATCTTATCCAAACACTTTGATCCCAGTTCTGGCCCAAGCTTGAAAGTGTGCCCTTTGGCAAGCCACTTCCTTGCTCTGTGCCTCAGTTTCCCCACCTGTAAAACAGGCTATCACTGTTAATCTACTTCAGGAGCCTGTTGCAAGAATGAAGCAAACAGCACCTCCAAGGTGATTAATGAGGCCATTAAGAGCATTCAGGGGCAAAGGCAGAAGCAGAACTTGGAGCCACCACACTCCCTTCATTCAGTCCTCTCTAGTCACAGCTGTGAATCAGATGTTTGCCTTTGCCTAAGGTTTCTGTCAAAGAGGTGTTTTGGCATTATGAACAGCCTGCGGGGCACTGAAACTCAAAGCGCTAGATGCAGCCAAGATGTATGGATCCTGTGAATCCATGCACAGGGATCTAGTAAACAGCACCGTATGGATTTCTCATGAAATCTGTGATAGCCAGTTTCTCTGCTCAGGTCACTAGACACAAGGATCCCAATACATCCTTTCTCTACAAGTATGGTCAGAACAGCACACACAAAGCCAGTCCTGTACAACTCTCCTGACATTTTTGGGGTGATGCCCTGAACTCCTGCAAACAGAAAGCTTCTCAGGATACTTGGTTTAGCTACAGGCTCCCTTAAAAAATTCGATCACAGAACTCACTCCAACTCGTTTCCATCCTGGTCTGACAATTAGGGCACCTATGCACACGCAGGGAGGCTGCTCTGACGTGCTGTAATTGCAGTGCGTCGGAGCAGACTTGATTAATTGAGTCTGCTGGAGCATGGTAATTACCGTTACATGTATTAGTGACCCTGCCTTGAAAAATGGTGGCAGGGGCACTTTATCTAATGCTCATCAAGCAACCTTTAAAGTGCCCCCACCGCCATTTTTCAGTGCAGGGACACTAATACACAGGATGCTCCAGGTGCTTTAATTGGAGTGGCTCTTGTAGCCACTCTAATTAAAATGCCACCCTTCCTCCCCAGAGCACATATATAAATGCCATTAATGTTACAGGGGCACGTCTACACAGTGCCCTACAGCAATGTTGTTGTCCAAAAGGAAGTACTAAAGCATAGTGCAATGACCTGTAATGCACCATACGCGTGGTGCACGGTTATTTTTAGCACCTATTTTGCCATACTGGCACGATAACAACGCCGCTATGGTGAAGCAGCTGCTGGTCATGTGTAGACACCTGTGGATGCTACATAACTGTAGTGCATCGCTATGGTGACATAGTGTCATATGTAGACTCATCCAATATGTTTTTTCCTCATGTTCCACCCCAGACCCAGCTGCATGTCGCCTCTGGGTAAAGTGAGTTTATACCAGTGATTCTCAACCAGGGCGGTGTGGCACTCAGGGGTGCATTCAGATCCTGTCAGGCGTGCCATGGGGTCCAAGCAGTATTAGCACCGTGAGGTGTGCGAACATGATTCACAAGATAACCCCAGGGATTTCAAACAGGAATCCATAATGCTGAAAACTTTCTGATCTGTTGTGGTCTTTCTGAGTTCTTTGCAACAGAAAAGGTGCTCTATTAGTTTTCTACAGTCAGAGAATGAGTGAAAACTAAGATCTGGCATTTTTCTCTATGCTAATGAGGAGTGCCTTGAATCTATAAAGATTGAGAGCCACTGGTTTATATGTACATAGTCTACAAGACACAACAGGCCCATTCCAGATGAATGGCACTGTACGAGAGTGTCTATTAGTAATACAGGCATGATAAATCATGCCCTGGAAATGGAAAAACACAGTGAAGAGGTGGGAAGGAAGCCAGTGCATTATTTCCAGGTCACCAACTAAGCTGATGAGCAAGAGAGATGGAGGGGGCGGGGGAAGAACCATAACACTTTTCTTAACATAATTCCCCAAAGCAAGGGTGGCCAGTCTGCAGCATAGGTGCCACAAGTGGCAGAGGAAGCCCTGGTTTGGGTTCCTTGGGCCCTGGGGAGGGGACAGGCAGCACAGTGGCAGATGGATCTGGAAGCAGAAAGCAAAACAGCAAGATAGACAAGAAATACAGGGGAGAAAGCAGAAAGCAGAGCAGCAGATCAGGAAGGGGAAGGGGAATCAGAGTGGTAGTTGGGGACAGCACAGGGCAGATTGGTGGCACCTTCCAAGAAGGCTGGCTCACACTCCCCAAAGGATGGCATTTCTTGTAGCTTTCCCTTTTTCTAGCTTCCCATTTGGAAGTTCAGACCCATGTCAGCTGTAGGTGAATGAGTCCCACTGGCTGCCAGAGAACTGGCCTAGTCAACCGGCAGAGTGGGCAGGGATGTTGCTGCCCTGAGAAACCGAAAGGTAAAAACCACCAGCTCTGTGAACACGGTGCCAACAGCACGTGCTGTCTGCAGCAGGAAGCAAGCAGCTGTGGTTTGCAGTCCTCTGGGCCCAGACAGTTCCAGAAGAGACACTCTCACCCCACCCCCTCCATCAGTAGTAGGATAAGAGCTTCATGCATGACCTGGGCCTGGCGCTCTCATGCATGCACCTACCTCTAGAAATTGAGCGCTGACTTTGAACTCCGGGGCTGCCACGCCTTGCTCCTGTGCTGCCCGCTTGCGCTCCTCAATGCCGCTGAAGAGGTGGGAGATAGCACGTGGGATTATCCCCTGCTCCTCATCAGAAATGTTCATGTCAAAGCCAGTGCCCATTGTGTATGTCTTACCAGCGCCGGTCTGAAAGGGGCAAGACACAACCAGTCAGACAGCTGCCTTATGGCACAACATGCAGAGTATGGCAGAGGGGTTTCAGTCCTGGACCCAAACCACCCAGTGCTACCAGTAGCCTCCACTACAGCCTGTAGCTTCCACCAAGCTATGGGCTCCCCACACATGCATGGCTCCATTGATGCCCAAGCTGCACCTGCTGCCTTATTATTCTAGTTCTAAGCTCCCCCTCCACTAGCCCTGCCATAACCCCAGACCAAACCTGCAGATTCCCAAACCTCAGTTATTCTTGCCCAGACCCTCCAATACGTTTGGCAGATGCCTCAATCCCAGCTCCCTCCCCTCTTCTATCCTAGGTCTAGGCCTCTGCCAGCAAAGCTCCCCACGAACCCGCAGCAACACCTACCATCTCCCTGCAGGAATCTCCCCATGACTTTGCTGGTGCAGGGCTCAGTAGCTAAGCAATACACAGCATGGTTACACTGGCCGAGACAGAGACAAGGAACTCCCGTACCTGTCCATATGCCAGCACAGTTGCATTGTAGCCTTCAAAGCAGCCCTCTATGAGCTTGCCAACACAAGTAGTATAGATCTGTTCCTGCCACGTGTCCAGGTCAAAGACAAAGTCATAGGTGAAGGCCTTGTCCTTTCCCAGCAACACCTGGGGCTCCCCTGGCGTTACTGAGGTGCAAATGTGGCATCCTTCAATCTTCTCCTTTGACAGCTGAGGACGGATCCTGCAGAGGAGGGGACAAAAAAAAATTAAAAAGGAGGGGTCAGAACAATCTTATCCCTCCCAGGGTAGTCTGCAGCATGGAGTGCCTCACTGCATGGGGTCACTCTGCCTGACACTACAATGCAGCCACCTCTGGGTTGGAGTGGCAAAGTCTGGGCCAGGAATGCCACACCCAAGGGAAATTGCAGGATGCAGCCCATAGGTGGGAACTGGCACACAGCCAGGTTTAAGTGCCCTCCACATTCATTCCACCCCAAGGAACATTGCTGGTCCTTCCCTCTCCTGCACCAGGTGCCTGAGGGAATGAACCAAGCAGGTGTTTCCCTACTGGGTGGACATGAACCATGCTCTGAACAGCAGTTCCCACCCCAGCCACTTCCGCTCCAGGTGCTAGTCAGCCAAATTCTCTAAGTCACAGTGGACCAGTATGGATTGCACTCTTCCTTTCCTCCCCATCCTCCTCAGCAGGTTGGGCAGACTCCTCCCAAGCAGGCTCTGAGATGCAGGTTGTACCCAGCCAGGATGGGTGAAGGAAAGATCTGCTCCAGGGGTAGACTAGGGATGGGAGAGTTTGGAGACCCTAGCTGGTGAGGGGTGGGAATGGGCCCTGTGGCTTGCTTTGCTGAGTTCAGGGCATGGAGAGAGTAGAACAACTGGAGTGGGGAGCTGTCCCCGGGGCTGGGTATTGGTGGGGGAAGTTGAGTTGGGAGTGAGGACATAGCTAGTTGTCAGAAGGACAGCTTTTATTAAACAAGCAGTGCAAGGGAGCGCATTGATAAAAAAGTACCAACATAAGGAGGAGAAGGGGCAACAGAGTTCTGGCCATGTACCAGAAGACCAGTTATAGCAGTGGGAGGGATTGGGGAGTGATGCAGCGTGGGATGCCTCGAAGACTGACCGGACTTGTGTCATGGACCACTTGATGTCCACATGCAACATCAAACCAACTCGGAGTCAATTGGTTCAAAAGAGTACCTGATTTTCCAGGTATACATTTGAACCATTCTAAGCAGCTTTAAATTGGTTTAAACAGGTTTGTCGGTCTGTCCACTTTACGTTTAAACTGCACTTAAACCAGTCTAAGCCTTGTGTGTCCACTGTCAATGTCTATATTCTCCCCTACTGCTCTTCCCTAGAGGAGTTGCTCTCAGAGTTGGTTCACCTGGGGGCTCCTGCTGTCTCCTGTGTGGTTCAACTCCAAAGCTTCCCCTTTCCCTCCCCAGTCTTGTGGGCTGGACTCCTCTTTCCATTATAGCAGGGCAGGTCCGTTTGGTAGTAGTCACCTGCCTGCTTGTTACCTCTGTCCCCTTGTTTTAGAGCAAACATTACAAAAAAAAAAAAAAATCAAATCACAGTAGCTTTTAAAACAGGGATGAAAAAAAGCCCCACAAACATGAAAATGCAAAATAAATAAATAAATAAAAAGGCTGATCTTTTCTTTCAACCAGGAACCCATTTCTCTTCCACACCCCCTAGTCCATTCAAGTTCAGATTCGGCCGACACAACAAAATTACAGTTCAGGTTCAAATAAAAAAAAAAGTACCCACTGTAACCAGTTCTCCAGTTCTGGGCTGACTCATTGCCACTGGGCCTGCCTGGGTGGGTACTTTAGAGAAAATAATTTATCTCAAATTCATCCTTTAAAACAGTTAAATAAGAATAAGCACCATTCAGGATTCAAAACAAAGAGAGCTGGAGAGGGAGCCATATTGCACTAGGGCCATGGGTGGAGTAGGACCACTGGAAGCCCTGCCTGTCTTACTCGTGCCATTCACAGGAGCAAAGATACCATACAAGTACTGCAGTGACAGAGCACACTCCTCTCCGGGTCTCTTGCTCTCCACCAAATCAAACATATTCCCTGCAACAAATAGTGTTTTGGAACCAGAATGTCGCCTCCATACAATACCCCCCTGCTACAACCCAGATACCACCCTAGGAAATAACTCCCCTTTGTTAAATGGAACACGGGCACTTGCAAAGCATTTTATCACATAAATAACTGGATTCTTTATTTATAAACTGGAATATCAAGCAGCTGCTAAAAAAACAATAATGTGACAGCACTGCCAAACCCAAGCACCCTCAAAATCATGAGACTGGTCCAAGGAATGAGGGGGTCTCTTTATTGGATTTTTGAAGCCTTGGAGTGGGGGGGGGGAGGCATTCAGTTCGTATGCCTTGGCACATATAGCTGTAGAAGGCTTAGTGGAAAAAATACCTTACGTTCTTAAAAAAAACACCCCCCCCCCAAGAAGAATAACTTCTTCACCGTTCATGAGACCAGGCTCTGGAATAGATTCCTAGTGGGGTGGTGCAGGCACCTACCCGGGAGATCTGCAAAAGCAGACTGGACACTCCCCTTGCTGGGGTTATTTGACCCCAGCAGTCTTTCCTGCCCAGCTAAGCAGCTCACAGAATCCAGAGACTCCAAGGCTTGGACTTTGTGAACAACATCAGGTACCAGACTCAAGATGGTAGCAGCCGTGTTGCCGATGATCTGAGTGAGCAAATGGTACATTGGGATAGCACTTTTAGATACACTAAAAGCCCCAGGGCCCCCAGTCCCAATGGAAATCTTTAGGCACTATGGAAATACAAACATTAATCAGTGAAATGGCAGCAGCAGTGATCACAGGCTCATGTTTTATTAAAATGGAAAAAGAAGGTTTTGTGGTGGTCTCAAGCCCACAGACAGCAGAGGCCAGGGGGTCTTCACTTACCTGGAAGAAGTAAGAGAATTAGGGTCTTGTTGAGCCCAAGCCCTTTGCCTCTACTCATTTCATTGGTTAAGTGCAAGCTTTATCTTCACATTTCCACTCACTCATCCTTCCCCCTGTCCTGTGGCGCAGCATATTAATAATGCCCAGCTCTTACAGAGCTCTTGTCATCAGTGCACTCTGCAAGGGCAGATATCCCCAGCTCTGAAAATGGGGTACTGAGGCACAGAGTCAGGAAACAACTTGCGTGTGGCTACACAGCAGGACAACAGCAGAGCCAGGAGCACACGCAGGCATATCCTGCCGTTCAGCTCAGTTCTCTATCCATGGAGCTACACTAGAATAAAAGATGTTGACTTTAGCCACACAGAAAGCAACTACACCAGGGGCAAAGCACGAGACAGTTAAGTCTGGGGGGGGGCTATACTTAGCTCTGGGGATGAAGCTATTCTAAGAATGGGAACATCAGTCTCATCCTGGAAGAGGTTTATTTATAGGATTTGAAAGACGTGACTCACCTGAACGCCTGATACTAGCAAACACAAGCACAAAATTAGATTAGAATAGCTCAAAAAGAGGTTATTCTCTGATGTCACTAAATACAATGGAAAAGCAACAAACCTACAGAGAGGCACAGATGCTTGTTCACAGAAGTTTCTCACCAGCTAGTTGAGAATTTTAAACAAGCAAAAAACTCTCCGTAAGAGGATCCAATTGTTAAAAAATTCTGTGCGTGCTTTTTTTTTTTTTTTTAAATATAAAAAGACATTTCTTTTGTGAAAAATCTCACATTATTTTCTGGGAGGAAAAAGACAGCTGGATAGAAAGTTTGCCCACTAGTCTATTTACCATAGCAGTAGGCTGAAAAGAAGCCTGGTTTGAGTGTATTATATCAGAGAGGACTTTGGCCTTTGTTTCTGGTGTCCAGAGTGGTCCACACCGGTAAACTTTTCACGAGAGCCTCCCGCCTGGCTTCACGACCTGGAGTGAGGTTTGGTACAATTTCAAAAGGGGGAGGCAGGAAGAAATGTCTATGTAAAATATCCTTCTCTTATGAACGCCCCCCACCCCCCGCAAAACAAAAACAAAACAAGCACAAAACGCCCCCACTTCTTTATTTTGTACAGCACAGAAAAGAACTAGATATCCCATTCATGGGCCTGGACTCCGGTTACAGAATAATGTGCTATTCCTTTCTCTTAAACATTTATTTACTACCTAGATTTATTTATGGCTTCCTGTATAACCTGCACAAAGTAACAGATCCGATGCCAAAGGTTCTCCATTCCCATCCTACCTTCTCATCCATGAGTTATCTGCCAACTAATGCAATACCCACTAGGTCAGTCAACAGGCCTTTAGCCTTCTCCTGAATGAATTGCTACCCGGAGCTGTACAGCCCCAACCCATCACTGCTAACACCATGGCTGTCCAACTGGCAGCCCATGGGCCGCACGCGACACAGAAGGAGTTTAAGTTGGAGCCCCCAGGTTCCCACCCAGCCACTCATTCTGCTATAAAAATTAAGACCCATGGTTTTAGCTATGGCCTCTAATTTGGAGTACTCCATTTTTGAGACACTTAGGGCCCAACTTCCAGAGCCCACTTTCCCCATAGGTTTCACCTCGATTCCCTGGTGATCAGATCTAAAAATCAGACCTTGTTATGATGAACCACACTGCCTAATAATTGAGGCAGCCAAGCAAGAGGCTTAGATCAGCTGTGTGTGTTCACTGGCACTGCAACAAGGAGCTCAGAAGTAACTGGTAGCAAGCCACCCCTCCCCTTCCCTGCCCCAAAGGCTCTCCCCTCCCAGGCATCACAGTCCCTTAAGCAGCACGTTTCTGCTCCCAGCCCCGATCTGGTCTTGCCCTGTGGCCGCTGCAGGCTGCTGCTGCACTGCTCAGACAGGATCACTCAGGGATTCCTGCATTCAGCCCCATGACTACTGTTTGAGTTACAGCAGATCGGAGAGCCCCACACCTTAGTTTACTTCTTTCAGCCCACTGCAGGCCTTGGCAATCTGTTCCAATGGTTAATCAGGCCATTATCACTATAAAAGCTAGATTCATCACACTGTACTAGTAAAAGCTGTTTCTTATCATACAAATTTAAGGATCAAACAATGCTACTAAAAACAGTAATTAAAAATCAACTAGAGATACCAATTCTAGCACTAGATCACCACATTTTGCACTAGTGAAAGCTGTTTATCGTTCTACAAATTTAAGGATCAAATAATGCTACTAAAAACAGTAATTAAAAAAAAAAAATCAACTAGAGATACCAATTCTAGCACTTAAAACACATCAGGGAAAGACACAGACCCAAGCCAAGAAAGACTGACGAAGCCAACCTCTCCCAGGCCAGGCCATCTCAAACAGGAGGGTAGAAATCTACACAGAAGCAGAAGTATATGCACTCTCAAGTTGTAAATTCGCATACAGTCCCCATTGAAAAATCCTCCCATTACATAAAATACAACAAGAATGCCCAGACAGAAAACACTCAGGGAATTAACGGCAAAAAAGTTTCCTTTCCGGAATACTTTTATTAATTCCTGGTAAACCACATTGGCAGAAAGGGACTTATGCCTCCAAACCATCACAGCAGAAATCTCATGGAGAGGAGCTTTTCAATCTCTCATTTCACATCTTAAATTGTTAATAGCTCACACAAAACGGCTGCCACATCCAAACCCACAGAGCCAGGAGTGGCAATTAGCACCAATGATACCATCTGCACCATGCATAGTTTGTGCATCAATTCACAGAAATTCAGGGCTGGAAGGGACCTCGTGAGATCATCAGGTCCAGCCCTCCTGCTCCGGGCAGGAAAGTTTGAGTGATGGAAGGTGATGCAGAAATGTCAAATTATCACAAAACTCTCCCTGCATTTGAAGTCATCCCCCCCGCCCCCCAAGGATGACAGATTTGAACTCTAGGCCCAATTCAGCTTAGTGCCCATAACAAAAGGTCACATTTTCAGAAGAGTTCAACAGTTGAAGCTTTTGTTCTGAATTATTATTTATTTTTAGAAAAATTCTTTTTGACCAACATGTCCCCCGTCCTTTAAAAATGTGACATTTTCCAAGAGATTTGTTTTTTGTTTT